AGACATATCCTTTGGAATGCTCTGAGTATCTTATGAAGATACATTTTTTGCCCCTTGGACCAAATTTTCCATATTTGTGGGAAGGGTCATGAGCATAGGCGCACATCCCCATGGTTGAACATAGGCGACACATCCCCATGGTTTTAGGAGACTCAAATTGGGTTTCCAATTTGTCCATAACTCATGGTGTAGTAGTAACAGATTTAGAGGGTATTCAGTTGAGTATGTATGTGGTAGTCAATAAGGCATCACCCCAAAAAGTGATGGGCAAATTTGTCTGTGCCATCACAGACCTCCCCATTTCAATTAGGGTTCTATTTCTTTTTTCTACAACACCATTCTATTGCGGAGTTCTTAGAATAATTAATTGACCTTCTATTCTCATTTCATTATAGAAATTTTTGAACTGATCAGATAGATATTCATGACTTTGATCAGTTCACAAAACTTTTATTTTCTTATCTAATTGATTCTCAACTAAGTTTTTAAACTTCTTAAAGCATTCTAAAGCTTCAGATTTATGAGAGATAAAAAAGACATAATCATATAGGGTGAAATCATTAATAAATGTGATAAAATAAATAACCCCATATCTAGCCCTCACATTCATTGGACCAGATATGTCAAAATGAATCAATTGTAATGGAACTTCATCTCTTATCGCTTTTCTAAATGGTTTTCTTGCTGTTTTTTTAGCTAGGCAATATTCACAAGTAGAAAAGTCTACTTTTATTAAGTTTCCTAACAAGCATTCTCTTGCTAGTATATTCATTCATTGTCGGCCTATATGACCAAGTCTTGCATGCCATACATTCACATCATCATTATTGGAAGATGTAACGAAGGAAAAACAAGCATAGTTATAATTATAATCAACATCTAGTATAATAAAACCATCAGAAATATAATCACAACCATAGTAATTTGTGTCAAAAAATAAATGGACACCCATACTTGAAAAGTTTAAATTAAAACCTAATTTAATAAGTTTTAACATGAAAATCAAATTTCGATGAATATCAGATACATATAACACGTCATGTAGGTATAGGATTTGACCTCCATGCATGATCAATTTGCATGTACCGATCCTCTTAACTTCCATTCTAAAACTGTTACCTACATATATCCACTTTGTTTCCCATGGTATTCGTCGATACTCCACGAAACCACTCCTGTCTTTCACTATGTGGTTTGTGGCTACTGAATCTACAGTCCACAATGGATGAGATTCAATTAGAAAAACATAACTGGAAACACTTATTAACTTATTTGTGCAAACAAGTAATTTACCTTTTTCGGCTTGCTAAAATTGCGAGCAAAATGTCTGTTATTACCACAGTTATAGCAATTTCACTATTCCCATATCTTTCTTTCTGGCAAGATGCTTTCCTTTTCCATGTTTATAACACTTTCTTTTCTTTTCTTGAGCCTTATCATTATTGCCTCTTCTTTAAGATCCACCTTGGAATTTACGCTTAAATCCCTTCCCACCATTTGAACTGGAACTAGTCATATACACATCAGTATCTGCCTTATTAACATTAAGGCAATCTTCCAGTTCTAAATGTCGTGTGGCATCATTTAAATTTTTTATGCCCTCATTATGGGTAAGGTGTATCTTCATGTGTTCCCTATTTTGAGGCAATGATCTTATGACGGCTTGAACTTGTTGTTCATTAATTAGGACATGACCTGCATCTCGCAACTCACTAATCATGTTTGACAAGTGCATTAAGTGCACTCTTATAGTATGTTCAGGCTTTTTCTTATATGTGTCAAACTTGATTGTAAGTGACCGGAGTTTGGTAATGGATGTACCTCCAAACTTTGTAGCAAGGGTGGATCACATGTCCTTTGCTAATTCATATTCCAATACTTTTTCATGAGATCATTGTCCATGCTGCTCAACATAGTCTCTTCTATGTTGAGTCGTGGCTTCTTCTTCAGGCTCTTCTATGGTTGTGGTAAGAGCTTTAAGAACCTCTTATTCTTCTAAGACATATTGTATTGTTATGCTCCATATCTCATAATTTTCGCCGTTAATTTTTTCTCTTTTATTAAGTTCGGCGATAATTTTCTTAGATGCAGATATCATTTCTAAAACAATATATACACGGAGGATAATGCAAGTTATTCAATGCTCATAAAATACATATATTTCCTTAACATCAATTAATTATATCAACAATTATCTCATATTAGATTTAGAATCAACTATTCACTTTTTTTTTTTTTTTTTTTGTCAACAATCATCATCTAGAATACTAATATCTAATTATCATTAATATAATTAATTAAGGAATTCTTATAAATGATGATTTAAGAATATTTCTAAAAATGTAAATAAAACTAATTTCATTGCACAAATGGAGTTCAACATGTGTCGACATAAAACAAACAAATTTCCAAAAAAGTATAATTGTAATGTCACGACCCGCAAACTGGGAAAGATCTAATAATCCTTATTCTAAGTTTTATATCTAACTTTTAATCTATCTTAGACAAGGGAACTCCTAATATCTTGTGATGCCCTTTACGAGTTGAGACTCCAATAGATGCACCAGCCATCTTTTGGGCACCCCAATCTATGTACTCCTTGAAAAGTTTGTTAACTAAACGTCTCCAACCTTTATTAACATTTTTAGGGTTTTGATCTTCCAACTTGTTCCAAACCAGATCGAGGAGACCAACGAGACTAGCTAGGGTGATTAATAATATGTTTAAAGACATTGTATTTCATCTCATCTCTTATTAATCCTCCTCGCTAGACAATATCCTACATCATTTCATTCACATGAATGAAATGATTCACTATTTACACCAGCTCATCCTTTGTGTCTTTTAATATTAAAGTGTGAGTTTGTAGAGTTCAAATTATGTTTATTATCCTTTCCTGCTGAGCGGGTGTTTTATTAGCCCTCACACGTCTATAACATAACATTTTTTCTGTGACAAATAGAAAAAAAAAAAATTTCTACTCATTTATCAAATAAAGTTATTTACACGTATTTATAGCTTAAAAACTAAAAATATACCAGCAATTTTATATCAAGTATGCATTCTATTCTTTTAAAAAAGAAAATCATATATTGTTAGAACCTATTCACACACCGCCACGCGTTGGTATCAACTTGCCACATGCTAGCTACAGTCCCCACCAGCCCGCACGTGCCCCCACTGTAGGATCGTCAACTCATCCTAACTTTCAGGTTGGGTTGACCCGTTTATCCTTTGACCAGGTATTGGGCTTGGGCTATTTTATAGATAGTAATCTCAACTCTAATATAAGTTAAACTATTCAAGATTGAATAACAAAAAAAATTTAGCCCAATGGTCAGTAGGTTGGGCTTTCATCCAGGAGATTTGGGTTCAATTCTCAGTAGTAAAATTTTAACTTTTTAAATATGATATACTGAAAATTCAATCCAGACTTAAATAAAAAATTCTAATCAATTAAATGACAAACAAGTCAATTTGCCATATGGAGTTAAATGACAAACAAATCAATTTGCCCATATGGTTCAGGGTTGAGTATAGGAATTAAAAGCCTACGTTTGAGTCTTCAGCATGGGTTTTTTTTATTTTTTTTTTTAAATGACATATCATTTTTTAGGACTTAAATAAAAATGACATGTCGTTTCACTCAAATTCAGTCATCTTCAACCTGTGGTTGAGTTTGCAACTTGATACCCGTCCTGAAAAAATAACTCACTACGAACCTGAAACTTAAAATGGCATGTCTCAGTCATTTTAACTTCATTTTTTGCAATTCAAAAACCATTCTCTTCATAATTTCACAAGAAATTTAATTTTTTAATTAATTTTACTAGAAAACAATTCCTCAAACATAAATATGAAATATTTAGAACTGAACAATAAGCGTAAATATAATTCAACGTATTTCATCATATCATTTCTTAACACTAAACAAAAAACAAGAACTATGTTCTGATACCATTGTTAGTAAATTAAAAAAAACACATATTCCTAATTTATCCCAAAATCATATCAACATATCATTATTGCAATCACATTACGTGTATAGAATTATACTGAATTGCAAAAGTAATTAATCACAGCATAAATACCTCTGGTAAATATCTCAAATCACAGAGATCATTGGAAAGCAATTGGAAAATATTGTTCACCGATTTGTGAAAGGAAGAGAGAAAGCAAGTTACTTCTTTTTGCTAAAAACAAAACTTTCTGTACGCAAACTTTTCTTCAAACCTCCCTGCAATTTATACATGAGTAGTTGTAGGGAAGTTGTGTGTGGTAACTACCAAGTAGTTACCTTGACAGTTGCCACTAATTGGATATAGATACGGGTGGGTCTCATCATGGGTGTCCCACCCATATCTAATAAAATTTGACAAAAACTCATAAAAAGAAAAGAATTTTAGGTTTAAAAAAAAAAAAAAGTATCATCTCACCTAGGAAAAAGATAATAGGCCAAAACCAATACTCCCACCCATTGCCTTAAAAGACAATTTAGAATCCAAAAAGTTTAAAAATGACAAACACTCACTTTTTGTCACGTTTTATTAGTAAATTTCATCTATTGAAAGATTATTATGAAAAAAAAAAGACTGAAATGTCCTTGAAAGTTTGATTCCATATTTATTTACTAATTTATGTCAATTCAACTTATTCAATTATGTAAATACCCACCTCCTAAGTTAAATTACGAGTATGCCATCAACTATTTATAGGTTTTGAAATGACCAGTTTGTCCCTATCATTTTGTAATACTGAAGTTGCCGTTGGGACTTTTGAAAATTGAAACATGTCAAATGACCAATTCGTCCCTGTTTTGCCAGCAAAATTTTAAAGTTGGTGGAGAGTTGAAACTTCTTGTGCAGTCCCGGACAAGAACAAGAACAAGAACATTTATGGTTGAAGGTAAACAACATAAAAGAGCAAGATTCATTTGTAATGAAGTTCTTCATGAGTTACAAAGAACCAAAACTACGAATTCAATACAGCAAAATGTCTTAACAGTTAAAATATACAAATTACAAAGAAAGCAGAAGCAATTTGCAAAATGCTTCTGTTACCAACTCTTAATTGTTGCGTAAACAAACCTAGGACAGGCTAAACCACCCAAAACAATGCCCACATAGCAGGCTATTCTCAAATCAAATATTAAACAGGCACCAACTCTAATTTTTTTTTAACACAGTTTAATTCCTGAATGCTGCAATCCCTGAAGCCGAAGGCCATAATATCTGAAAGAGGTGGATGAGATGCTTGAAGTGTGATGCCCACCTGATAGTGCCAATTAAATTTGACGTCAACCTAGTTAGTACTATGCATCAAACCTGGAAAAAGGAAGCACATGTAATAAGACACTCAACAGAATAAATTGCCAAAACAAACTCAATAATATCAGAGAAATAATAATTTAAGCTAATATAAGAAGTTATTCTTTTTGAAGACAATGGTAATGAAGAGAAAAGAAATCATTATTACCAGAAATAGAACAATGCTTAGACTAAAGTCCAAACACCACATCTATCCACCAGATTTCCCCTTTAAGATCAAGCAGCCCTTTCTCCTTCATGCGGAAACGACCAGAATCTAATCCATGGTCTCATCTCTAACATTCCTTTCTGTACGCAAAAATTGTCATATTTAATGTAGTGGATAAATGTATTTTACTTATTTCACATAACCATGTCTTTCTGTCTCCAAAAAGGGAACAACCATCCCATTCCATGGATTTTTATCCAAGAATAAAGCGCTGTCAATAAACATGTGCAACACAATAGCATGGGTTAACATAGGTCTCCACCATAGCAACTATAGAAGAGTTGCCTAATTATGTCCTCTCATATGGAGAGGTGAAACTGCCAAAAAAACCACATATCACACATGTGCTAAACTTGATAAATGTCAAGAACAAAAATAAAATCACACAGCTTTATATAAATTACTGAAGTGAATACACCCTCTAAATTGTTGGAGTTGTCGACTACTTCAGCAGTAATGGGTAACGGAGACGCACTCGGGGGTCCCCCGAGCCCGTAGGCGGTTTTGGGCTTTTCTATGTATAACCGCTGTAAGATTTCTTTTAAGTTATTAATTCCTTTTTGGGTTGGGCTTAGGAATAAGAATCCTTGTAAAACTAGGTTTAATCTCTTAAACCTAGTATATAAACATACTTTTCTCTTGTTATGAGTGTGAGAGCAATTCATTCATTGTAAACGAGAGAGGTGAGGCATATTGCAATAATATTGACTCAGTTGGACGTAGCCCACATTGGGTGAACTAGGGTAAATCGCGCGTACTATTTTTCTTTGTTTACTGTTTGTTTTGTTTTACTATTATTATTTTGTTCATGTTGTTGTCTCTATTTCGTTCATAAATAAGAAAGAGCACATATCACCTAAGCTTTAGCCAGACATTAGAGAAATCATATATGAATAAAAGAAATATCACATATGTTCCTGCACGTTGCCCTTGATCTTAAATCATGCAAAAATAAGCTGCTACCCTAAAATCCTACTGGTCTAGACTTTGCTCCAAATATTAAGGTTCCAAGATTAAACAATTAACAGTATGCTTATAAGCAAAAACATTATTTACTTAAAGAAATACTCAAAGATTTTTGCTCAAGTTATGACATCTTACATGGAGTGCAGCTCAAATTATTACCTGTATAAGATGCCAAGCACGATGCCAGGCAGATCTCGAAAAAACTGGAGCCATACTTCCCACAAATCTGCAAAATATAACAAAAATTAGACCAAAAAAAAAAAAAATTTATTGTCAGCATCAATATTTTGATGCAAGATATCTTACAACATATTACCGTCAACATATATCCTTGGAAACCAACTAGAAAGATGGATTGCGAGTGTGTTTGTGCACTTTATCGTGTATCGAAGGAGAAAATAATGTCAAGCAGCGAGGGAGGCAATGCCCAACACTGCAAGGTTCACAAACCCCACCCACTCCCTCCCCCCACAAAGAGAAAAAGAAAGAATGGGAAAAATGAAATCTATAGAATCCGGAGGGTTTTCTCCTTCACTCATTGTCGATCGTTTGCCTACCATGCCGTTGCTATTCACGGCCCTCACTCCGCCACTTTTGCCGGTTTTATGTCGTCCTCCACTATCGCCGATTTTTGTTTATCTTCTCGTCGTTGATGGTTTCTCGCCGATTCCCTCCTAACTGCTCCTCCTAACTGCTTCAGATATAGAGAAGGAAGACGCAACACACGAAAAGGCAAATGACTTTTCGTTTACTCTTTTCTCCTTGCAAGGACTGTGCAGAGTCTAGGGCTGTAAGCGAGCCAAATTTGGCTCGACAAAAGTCGAGCCGAGCTCGAGCGGCTCGAGTACCCTCTCGAGCAGCTCGAGTACCTTCTCGAGCCGAGCTACAAACCACCCACTACTCGGCTCGTTAGACTCGTGAATATCGAAAAGGTATAAGTGCTATTTTTTTAAACATCAAGGCGTTATATATAATTTATTATATCCAATATAAATTATCCCACTTCCTAAACCCTATCTTCTTTCTCCAGCGCCATTTTCTCCTTCCCTTTTCTTCATCTTTTTTCTCCTTTGTCTTTTTTCTCCACCATTTTCCTTCTTCTTCTTCACCTTTCTTCTTACTTCTCCTTTGCTCTTCCATCTCTTTCCTTCTCCCTCTTTGCTTTTCTTTTCTCTCCTCTTCTCTTTTCTTCTATCTCTCACAGTCGATGGAATTTTGAGTCATATATTTATGGCTATTTGGCTTTGGATCTGATGATGGTTGGTGATGATTAGTGGGTTGGCTTTGTATTGGGGCTATTTTAAAGGATTGTTGATGGATTGCTTTGGATTGAGGACTCATAAACAAGCAGTTCGCGAGCTAAATTCGAGCTCAAAATATTTAACGAACTAGAGCTTCAAGCCTGGTTTTCAGAGCTCATCGAACTCGAGCTCGAACTCGAACTCGTTAAATTTTCTCGAGCCAAGCTCAAACACCGTAGTGTTCGGCTCGGCTCGGCTCGTATACAGCTCTAGTGCAGACACATGTCAAGCACTAACTAAATCTTCCAAGAGAAGTTAGCTCCGCTAACCAAGACAATATTTTAAAATTGATTCGGGTGCGCTTTAGTATTTTGAATAATACTTTAAAAAAAGTAAAAAGTTCGGTGTAATAACGACATATGATTTTAAAATTAACAAAAACACTTCTTTAAGTTTGTTAATTTATTAATTTATTAAACACCCTTGTAATAAAAATATTAAAAATTATAAAAATACCCTCACTCACCCATTAAATACCAATTGTCAACCATCATCATCGGAGGGTGGTCGAAGTCACCATATCGACACACAATCAACTGGATCTGGTCGGTCGTGCACCGAGATGACTAGCTAAAAAATATCAAATATACGACTAGATCTTGCCATTGACGATCAGATTTGGCCTCGTTTGGTTGTCAACGATAGCCAAAGATATGGTCGTCATTGACGACTAGGCTACGGCCAAAGATCTGGTCATTGATGGTCAGATCTTTGGCCATAGATCTGACCTTTTTCAACTAGATCCACCATGCATCTGGTCAGAAAAGGATACATCAGTGCATTATCGGCCAAATTCAGTTGGTGGTGCGCCATTATACGAGATTTTAGCCACCTTCCAACGGTGGTGGTTAGAATCTAGCAAATGTGGGTGGGTGGGGGTGTTTTTGTCAATTTTTAAACTTTGTTTTGGGGTGTTTAGTTAAATTAACAAACTTAGAGGTTTTAGAATTAATTGAATAAAATATAATAGTATTTTCAAAATAGGGAAACAAATGTGTATTTTGGAAATTATAGGAATATGATAGGGAAAAATTGGGAAACAAACACACCCGAAGATTTTACTACTAAAGGAGAAATTACCACACTGTCCTTCAGCAGATGGAATTTACTAACAGAACCTGACAGAAGTAATTGTTTGTCATTTCCAAACTTTTTGGGTACTACTGTAAACCCCGCATCAACGTTCCAATGCTAGAAGGTATGTAATTCTACCCTTAAAATGATTTTTCATCAATAAAAGAGTAAAATGGTCATTTTGCATGCATTATGAGACGTGAATATTGTAAAGTGTTAGGAATTGATGATACTAATAAGAAATATGATTAAAAGGTCATGACGGAGGTTAATAGGGTTAAACGGCATAAATGGTTCCCAATGGGTATAATGGTTTTTTCACAATAATTTATAGGAATCAAGTATCCATAAAAGTGTATTATGGGTAAATTAGTTAATTATCTTATGGAATTACTTGATCACCAAGTAGAAAAGAGAAATCAAATGGCATTAAAGGAGTATAATAATTATATTATAGTAAAAATGACCAAAATGCCCTTATATGCAAAATTTATACCAAATGACCCTTATATCTAACTTTTGATGGCCAATCCCACTTGGGAATTAAAAAAATGAAATGTTTATAAGTTTTTTTTTTTTTTTGGTTAAGTCGGCCAACACTCTTAGAACACCAAAATTCAGGCTCTCTCTCTCAAAATTTTCATAGGATTTCAAGTTGAATTTCGAAGGAGATCATCATCCACACTTAGAGAACTTCAATTTCAGAGTTTAAGGTGAGTTTTAAAACCCTAGTTTGTTGTGATTTTCAATTAAAAGAGAAATTCATAAGTGGTTATGTGTGTAAGGTAGAAAGGGTGAACTTTTGAAACTAATGAGGAGTGTCTTTGTGCTTTGAATACTAAGGTAAGAAAAAAAAAAATCTCCCTTATGACTACAATTGATGACACCTAGGGTTGATGAAACTTACATTTATTTATGTTAATTTAAGTATGATGCTATGTTTTGGTTATGGATTGTTTAAATGGGTGTGTTGATTGGTGTACGTGTGCATATGGAGGATGATTATGCCAATTAAGAGATTTGTAGTTGGATGATGTCTTGGCACATTTTGGTTTTTTAAAAAGGGAGTTTTTTATGGCCTTTTATACTTAGAGTGATATGGCAAATACTATGAATGTACAAATGAATGTGACATGGTTAAAAATGAATAGAATTTGGATTTGACCTTTTAAGACTTATATTGTACATGCTTCACTGAATCAGTTATAACTGAAGTTATAAAAGTCAGATTGAGCTGATTCTTGAAGTATTAAAGAGTTGAGAAATAGACCTAAAACTTTTATGTTTTAGCCAAAAATCAATTCGAATTGGAAGATAAGGAAAAAATTGCTTGAAAAGTGATGAATTGTATGATATCTACCTCCTTAATAAAAAATCCCATCTTTTTTATAATCTCTAATAAACCACTTAATAATCTTACTGTTGAAATTCCTTGTGTTTTATGAGAAATCGAATGAATTAAGTTAATGAATTTAATAGGAAAATATTCATGTCAAGGAGTTTCGCTAAATTGATTGATGAATTGTACAATTGGCCAATGGTACATGTTAAATGAATTAATAGTATGATTGAACATGGGAGATGTTATCCCATATGTTTACGTTCGTAATGGTAATGCATATAGCTTATTTAGTTGACTTATGAAAAAATTTATGAAATGTTAAAGAATGAATTCCATGAGTCTCTTAAGGTGTAAACCAAGATCAGAGGAATGACATCTTTGTGGAAATCATGAGTTTTTTGAGGTGACGACCAAGAACAAGGTAATGGTTCAAATAAATCCGATCGAATAATAAAGGCTAATGAAAAGGTCAAGTACAAAGACAAAAGGAACATGCCATGTTTATGAATATTGCAAAAGTCATATATGCTCTATGTTATATTATGTATGGTTATGTTATGACTTATGTTCATGAGAGAAGTCCAAAGTGTATGACATATTTTATGAACTTGATAATGTCAATGAATGAAGGTCATGTCTTATAGGTAGGTAAGGTCCTGAGTAATATGCTTGTATAATGAACCTTAATAGTTTATAAATGACCATATTCTTTTACTGAGCGATTAGTGCTTACCCCACAAAATTTTTTAAAATGTTTTACAGATAAGGATTAAAGCTTGAAGCTGTGAGAGGCTACTAGGGAATTACATGCACATGAAGGAATGCTTTTACTATGTTTTGAATTTTGATGTAATTTAACATCAAATAGTTTTTGGTTTATGGATATTGAAGTAAATATGTTTTAATAAAATAAACATAGTATGATCATTTCTTTGTCAAATGAATGAAAAAGGTTAAATGATATTAGTAAATGATATTATATACTTATGTTATTAACTCCGTAGGAAGCTAAATTTCTTGAATCATTTTATGGATATGAGATGTTTAATATTATGCTTTAAAAAAAAAAAAAAAAAAAGGACAAAACAAAACAAAAGTACAGGTTTTGAAACAAACTCATTTCCTATGTGTGTCTTTTATAGGTTCTCAATGGCCAAGAGATACTTAGGAAATACCCGACTAGGGGGGGCGGAGAGGGAGGTTTACAACTACATTGTCTTTAAGGCAAAGTTTGGGTGGGAGTATGTTGTTCGGCCAAGATAATATGAGAGAAAATGAAGAAGAGAGAAAAGTTAAAAAAGTGTTAATAAATAATTCATTTTTGTAGGGTTAACATGAATTTAAGTAGGATTAAAATTGTAAGTTCCATAAAATATAAAGACTTTTTTTATTTTTTTAAAAAGTTGAGTGGGTTTAATTGGACCCACATGTTTGTATGTGACTACGTGTCAGATTGTGGCTACTGTTCTTTTCTTGGTCTTTTAAAGGGCCTTTTTATTAGGGGTGTTCAAAAGCAATTAACCGGTTTTTCGGTTCGAAAAAATTCCCGAACTGGTTTGGAGGGAAAACCGGTTTTTCCTTTTTTTTTTATAAAACTTTTTTTTTCCTAAATTAAATTGTAAATATAAATAATACATATCCAAATAAAAATTAAACATTCATACATATCTATTGACCACTACTAACAATACATTAAAAATATTATTATTTTTTATTTAATATATAATTTATTATATTTTTATTTTTTGTTTAATATAAAATTTATATTTTTATTTAATATATAATATAT